AACTATCTGTAGACCATAGTCAATCGTACCCTGTAAATAACAAAAAATCTTCTTCATGAACTGAAAATGTGGCTCACGTGGGGCATGCATGAAGAGGCAAACTTGTTGAATAGCATATGCAATGTCTGGTCGAGTAAAGGTCAGATACTGGAGGGCACCGACAAGAGTGCGGTAGAGAGTGCCATCAACAAGAGGTTCACCATCAGTAGCACTAAGTTTGGTGGACGTATCCACTGGTGTAGCGCATGGTTTACAAGAGGCCATAGCAACCCGTTGAAGGATATCACGAGTATAAGAGGCTTGTGACAGAAAAAGACCATATTCATTGCGATTAGCCGTGATACCCAGAAAATGGTGAAGCGGACCTAGATCAGTCATAGCAAATTCCTGAGACAAAGAGGTGATAATGCTGCGGAGAACAGCAGGGTCAGAAGCAGTCAATATTATATCATCCACATATAGTAATAAGTAAGCACGATGGCGACCATTTTGATAAATAAATAACGATGAATCACAAATACTACTTCTGAAACCCCAAGATGTGATAAATGAAGCAAAACGAGTATACCATGCACGCGGGGCTTGCTTAAGCCCATACAAAGATTTCCGTAAATAACAAACATGGGATGGAGACCGAGCATCAACAAATCCTGGGGGCTGGTGCATGAAGACTGTCTCATGGAGATCGCCATGGAGAAATGCGTTTTTGACGTCTAACTGATGTATCGGCCATGCTTGCGAGACTGCAAGACTGAGAACAGTTCGTATAGTAGTTGGTTTCACAACCGGACTAAATGTCTCGAGGCAGTCAATACCCACTGTTTGTGATTTCCCATTAACCACAAGGCGTGCTTTATAGCGGTCAAGCGATCCATCCGCTTTAAACTTGTGGCAAAACAGCCACATACACCGAATAACTGGGCTGTCGGTCGGTCGGGGAACGAGTTTCCATGTTTTATTTACCTGTAAAGCTCGAAATTCATCTTCCATGGCTTGCAACCAATTAGGGTTAGACATGGCGGCAGAAATTGACTTAGGAATTGGAGAGATGGGTGGAGTAGATGAGGTATGAAGGTTTAAACGGATGATCGGTTTGGTAACACCTGCTCATGCACGAGTAGTCATAGGATGAGTAGGAGGAGGGGGCGGGGTTGAGGTGAGGTGGATGGAGGTGGGGTGGATGGGGGGAAGGTGTTTCGGAAGGGAGAGAGCTTGATTGAGCAGGTGGATGGGTGGTGGTTGATTTTGAGCGACATGAGTAGGTCAAGATAGGTGGTTGAGGGGTGGATGGGGTATGGGATGGTGTTGTTGATGGTTGAGTAGGGGTAGTAGATGGTGTAGGAGTGGAGTATGGAAAAACATGAAGAGGTTGGTCATCGAAAAGCTCGAAGGAGGTGGAAGGGGAAGGGCTATTGGCAAATGGGAAAGATGTTTCGTCAAATGTAACATGACGGGACAAATAAACTTTGCCGGTGGAAGGATCAAAGCACCGATAACCCCGAAAGTTTTCCGGATATCCAAGGAAAACACATTTAACGGATCGTGGTTGGAGTTTGTTAGATTGAGTGGCAGAGATGTTGGGATAGCAAGTGCACCCGAAGGTGCGAAGATGATCATATGATGGTTGGCGACCGTAAAGAGAGAAGACAGGAGTAGAAAAGTTGAGGCGTTTGGTTGGGAGGATGTTATGTAGGTATGTAGCGGTGTGAAGAGCTTCAACCCAAAAGGATTGGGGAAGAGATGCGTGAGTGAGAAGGGTCCGGATAATGTCATTGAGGCGACGAATCATCCGTTTGGCTCGTCCGTTTTGTTGGGATGTTTGAGGGCAAGAGAAACGAAAGACAAGACCATGAGTTTGGGCAAAAGACTTAAATTCATTATTGTCAAATTCACCACCGAGATTGCATTGGAAAGACTTAATGGTTCGGTTAAATTGAGTTTGGATGAGTTTATGAAATTTTTTAAAATTGAGAAAGGTGTCAGATTTGTATTTGAGAGGGTAGACCCATACATAATGAGTGAAGTTATCGATGAGGACCATATAATATTTGTAGCCAGATTTGCTTAAGACTGGAGATGTCCAAAGATCACAATGTATAATATCAAAGGGTGCATAAGTAATAGATTGTGAATCATAAAAAGGCAACCGAGTATGTTTAGATAGTTGGCAAGCATAGCATAAAGTTGAAGTTGTAGGTTTATTACAAGAAATTGAAAATGTAGAATGAAGTAAATCTAAAACAGAAGCGCCAGGATGACCCACGCGAGCATGCCAGCGATCGTGAGAGGATGCAAGGAGAGCAGATGGATTGGATGGTGTCGTGAAAGGGTAAAGATCGCCCGTGCTATCATGCCGAGAAAGAAGAGCTCCAGTCTTGAGGTCCTTTATAGAAAAACCAGATGGGCCAAATTCAATAGAAGCTTGATTATCGATAGTGAATTTACGAACAGATAAAAGGTTTTTAATAATGGAGGGAGTAAACAAAATATTTTTCAAGGCATATGAATGAGATTGGGTGGTGTAAGAAGAATGTCCAGACCCATGAATTGGAATACTAGAACCATTTCCAACAAAAATCGAGGTTACAGGAGAAGTAGTCATGGGACTTGAGATCTTACTCTGGTCAGATGTGAGATGGGCGAAGCGCCTGAGTCCATGTACCAAGACTGATCATTGGAGTTAAGATGGACTTGTTGCATTGTTTGTGCCAAATCTGATGGATTATAGTCAGAATAACCAGCAAACTGGGGATTGGGAGCAGCAATCGGACCAGTTGGTCGTATTGGAGGTGGTGCGTTGGGCCTCTGTTGTGATGTTGGATCGACTCTAAGGCTGGGTCCGAATGTGTGATTAGCCCAATGGCTTGCAGGCTGGGTCGGACCATGTGAGGGGTATTGAGATGGCGGTGGATTCCATGGTTGTGAGTTGTTCCAATGTTGTTGACACCATTGATTTACTTGATTCCAATTTGGTTGGCCTCGACCTCCACGACCCCGGAAACTTCTGCCACGACCACGACCAGGTGGAGCTCGACCTCGACTGCCTGCACCTCTACCTGAGTAGTTGTTGAAGGTGTGAGTCTGACCATGTTGACCGGGTGTGGAGTTTTGAGATGATCGGTCATCAGAAGAAGCAGCGAGGACTGTGTGAGTTTGATTTTGCCGAGCTGTTTGTCGGTGTTGTTCCAGTTGTAGCATGCTACGAGCTGTCTCCCATGATGGAGAGCTTTGATTGATATACGCCCCGACGACATCAAATTCTGATGGTAACCCGCGAACCATCTGCAAAACAAGTCTTGCTTCAGTGACAGGATTGTAAACATCTTCCAGTTGGTCTGCTAGATCTTTTAATTTTTGACAGTAGGCTTCCATCGATGAACAGGCAGCCAAGGTGAGATTAGAAAATTCTTGTTCAAGGGCAGCAGCACGTGATCCCTTATTGTTGAGAAAGTTTGTTTTGAGTTTGTTCCATGCATCTTGAGCAGTAGTGTCGTTTTCCAAAATTCAAACCATGAGTTCGTCGGACAACATACTGTAAATCCATTGCAAGACAAGGGCATCAATTTCCATCCATTGAAGATAAGTGGGATCAGTTTCCTTTGGTGCTGGGGTGCCATCGATATGATCAAGAACTTTGTAAGCTTTGGCATGAAGACGGAACAGTTTTGTCCATGAAGAGTACGTGACCTTGACACCATCCAGAGTTCGTATCTTGGTTTGGATGTTCGTTACAGTGTATGCGGGATGTAACGTTGTGACCTTTACTTCACTCGATCCAGCATCATCTTTGGCCATGACGATGACAGAGAAAAGCTCTTGATAGTTAACAGTGAAACAGATGAGACAAAGCCGTAGCTTTGGATGAAAGGGTAGCCGCCAAATTTAGGGTTTATGGCTCTGATACCATAACAGCGAACATAGGATCTGAATCTCTATCTTGAATTGATTAACAATGCCCTATTTATATAGGGATAAATACAAACGGATCCCCAAATACAGTGGGGGTATAATAGGAAATAATACCATAAAATATTGACAACAATACAATATTGAAATATATAATATCCTAAAATATAATCGGCTAATATCATCTTGCTAGAGATTGTATGTTGAAGAAGCAACAAGAAAAGAATAAGAAAGTTAAAGACGTGATATACTACATTGCTAAGCTCAAAGAAATTCAAAAAGTTGCCAAGAACATGTCATTGATTGTTATGAATGACAAAGGCGAAATGGAGGTGTAGTTATCATTAGATGATTATGAGGAAATGAAGCGTCAAGGAAGCTACTGGGAAATATTTGATGTCGAACAAGCCAAAGAAATTCAAGATGATTGTACAACCATAGGTCAAATTAAGGAAGAAAATAAGACGAAATGGAGATGTTGGTTGTCCAAGGCATTTTAGAATATAAGAAACCGAAAAATATAGGCATTAGAGAGGGATGTTGATTGGTTAAATGATGATATAATCGTTTTAAGACAAGAAAACAAACTGATTTTGAAACAAAGAAATAATTTCTATAACATTGCAAATGACAACTTTTTCATAGTATGGCCAAAACGATTGTATGGCCAAATGACGAAACTTTTTCATAGTAGTGATATTTCTGAACAACATCGAAACTTTTTACCATTTGTTGAGTCCAAAACAAATGTTGTTGATAATATTACTTAGGACTATGAAAGCGTTGTGTTTTCTGATTCGATGCCTAATCTATCGTACACTTATGAGATTGTTCCAACTCTAGTCTCTATATTTGGTTATTTTTGTGATTAACATTATATTATCAATTTATAATCAAATAATGGATAGTAATTATATAACCCTAAAATGTAGATTTTAAACGTATGTTTCTAAAAATAAAAACCGAATGAGAGCATAATTCTATTTCAGATCAAACACTGCGAATGTTTTCGAATGATAAATCCCAAAACTGTAAGGGTGAGATATGAAAAAGCAACCTCATTGTGGTTTCTTTATTATAAGCACCCATGATAACAATGATTACCAATTATTTTCCTAAGAATTAAACATAAAAACAAAAAGCAAATTTCCAAGTCCTCTTCTTTGATTCCATTTCCATGTGAACTGTGACACCACTGAACAGTAACCACCACTATATTCCTTTCGCCAGATAAACAAACCAAATTAATCCACAATTTAGGGTTTTTTAATCACAAGTTGTGTTTGTATACTGTAGACACAATCACCAGTAATGTCAGATTAGGGTTCTTGCTTCCAGACACAACTCTCAGAAACCACAGTTGTGGAATCAGATCGAAACCACAATTCCTTCCTTCTGAAGCTGAATTTTGACCAAACCCATCATCATTTGATTGGTATGGAAGCTTCACTTTATTTATCCTTTATTCTTTAATTAATTTATATTATTATCTTCCCTTTTTCCCCTTTTTGTGATTTTTTTATCTCTCAAGTCAGATTCGTACACCCTTCTCGTTTCTCTAATCATTGACTGTATTTGAAAATCGAAACCCACTTATTACTTCAGATTCGGTAAATGGGTTCTTTTCAGTCTTTCAAGCTTTGAAGCTTTTCTGATCTGGGTTTTGTTGGAATTTCTTATTCGTCGATCATGATCTGGAAGATGGGGTTTTGATTTGGATTTGGATTTGGATTTTGATCTGTTTTTCGTTGGAATTTCGTGAACCAGATATCTATATCAGGATCTAGGGTTACTGAATTTGATCATTTGCAAATTGCAATGGGGGGAAATGAAATAACTGTTGTAATGGAATTGAAGCTGGAAGAAGATGAGGACGAGTTCCGAAGTTGTTGTGCAGATGAGGAGGAGCTCGATGTGGAAGAAATTACGAAACAAGGTTTAAAAATTTGCACCGATGATGAATTTCTTGATGAATTTTCTGTACGAATGTTCTTCAAGGGTGTATCGATTTCAAATCATGGAAACAATGGCTTCAATGTCTCTGGTATCGGGGTTGTAATGGAAGGAGCTAACAAGGTTCCTGTTATTCAAGTGCAAAAAAAGCTTGATTTCTTTGTAGAAGAATCAGTTGCAGATTATTTGGCTTTAATGGAAGGTCTATTAGAAGCTACACAAAATAACATCAAAAGAGTATTCGCATACACCAATTCCACAATCTTATTTCATCAGGTATTGTAATTTGTATTCATTTTGGGTTAAATCAATAACTATCAAATTAATTAAGTTATTTACTTACATATATGCAACATATCTCTCAGATTACAACCGAAAAAACATTGGAAAACCCACTTCTCATGGCATTGAAGCAAAGAGTTCTAGAACATGTCACAAATCTTGATCATTTTGTTCTAAAATATGTTCCCAATGTTTTAGAGGCGTTACATCTTGCTAAAGTGGCAATTGGAATGATTCATCTTCCAATTAAAGGCGATAATTCAGTCCAAAAATGTTCAATTTGTTTAGAAGAAAAACCAACACCAATAACAATCACAATGAAATGCTCCCACAAATTTTGTTCAAGTTGCATCAAATCTCACGTTGAAGAAAAACTCGAGTCCTCTCAAGTCCCGGTTAAATGCCCTTGTGTAAATTGCCGATATTACATTTCTACCCCTGAGTTCAAATCTTTTCTTCCGGTTGTTTCTAATGCATTGTTGGAGGACACAATGAATTCGATTGGTGGAGATAAATTTTATTGCCCGTTTTCTGATTGCTCGGTTTTGCTTGATCCATGTTGTGATTTGAATGATAATAATAATAGTAATTGTGTGGAGTGTCCGGTTTGCTTGAGGTTTATATGTGTGAAATGTGGGGTGACGTGGCATGCTTCAATGAGCTGTGATGAGTTTCAAGACCGCCCTCCGGTGGCGGTAGATGGTGGTGGCGGGGTGGAGATTGGAAGATGGAGGCGGTGCGAGATGTGTGAAAGGATGATTGAATTGACACGTGATCACATGACTTGTTGGTATGCTTTTTTGTTTTTTTATTTATACTACTTTTTGGCTTTCTGTATTAAGTCGTTCTTTCTTTTTGACTTAACGAGACCAAATGACCATTTTACCCTTACATTCATATTTTCATCAATTTTAACTTGAGTTTTCAATTTAGGTGTGGACATGAGTTTTGTTATTCATGTGGGGCCCAATACATTGACAGTGAACAAACATGCGAATGTGCGATATTGGGAAGTGATGGAGGAGGAGAAAATGACGAATTTACCCTTACACAGAATATTGGTTCTGGTACTGCGATTGAGGAATGGGCATGGGATTCATGTGGATCACTTTCAAATTTGATGGATGCGTATTCAGATCAAGAAAGATCACAACTTGCATTGATTCAAAGATTTCTTGCTGGAGGATTTAGTCTTGGAGATCATCAAACATCCATGTATCAATCTCAATCTCAATCTCAATCTCCTCCACATCAATGCACAGATTCTGGATCTTCGTATCTTGATAACACCATGAAAGACCTTCATCAGCTTCCTTGGCTTGAGAGGTTTGTTTCTGTGATTAGTGACAATTATTATGAGGAGTATACTCAGTGAAGTATATTACATATTTGAAAATAGATAAAATGAAGATTTGAAAGATGGAGATTGGAGATTGGAGAAATGAAGATTCTCATTTGTATTGTATTGTAGCCATTGAATCGTGGTTAAATTAATGAATATAGTCTTCATCTTGAAGATTGTATTGAATTATTCTTGTATACTGTTCATGTTCAGTATGTGAGTATGATCTCTTCTTTTTTTGAAAATTGAAAGGAAGGATATATTACAAGAAAATGAATACAAAACACTTTCTGTGTTATCTGGATTCAAGTAACTTTTTTTTTTTAAATTGAAGTTGGGGTTTTTGAGTCGTGTATTGCCATTTGGGCATTTCAACAAACACTTGGTGGGCGTGAATGTTTTTGTTTATGTTGAGATTTTAACTGATGCACAAGCAAGCTTGTGAAGAAGTAGAGATGGAAATGGAGATACCTGAGGTAGTGTTTGTTGTTTGAATGTGTCTTGGGGGCTTGAAGCTGTATGATCATGGCAGATCTAAAGAGGCAAATCAATGGAGACGAGCAGGAGCAGCTGACTTTCATACTCATTAGAACTCGTATTTATTGTTATGGAAATTTTGGTTATATCAAATTCATATACTTTCCTTGCAACGGATCAACTTATGGGATTAAATCTAACAATGTTGGGGGGAGATCAAACTGATGAGAAATGAAAAAATCAAATTCGGCTAAAATCATCATAAAATAGATGCATGAATTTCAAAAGGTACCAAATGATCTTATAAAGCACACGTAAGAATTTCATTTTAGATCTATATCCCTTAAATTTCATTATGATTAAGCCAAAAGAAAATAGAGCGATTGTTGTATTTATTTATTTATTATTATTTTTATAATAAGGTGAGTTTTGATTTGGATTCGATCTAATCTATCCATATGCTCTCATGTTAAAAAAAAAGTAGGTTGTCTATTTAAATAAGGAGAAAAGGACGAATATAATCATATTATATATAACATAAAAACTTAAAAAGTTTATATGACATAAAAACTTCAAAAGTTGGGGAACAATATACTTCTTTCTCTTTCCTTTTTTGCCACGAAAGTTTTCTTCCTCATTTTAAGGGCACCTCAGTTCATCAGCTCATCCCTCTTTCGTCAACCCCTATCTGTTTCGATATCCCGTTCACCTCCCACCTCCACCGTCACTTGCCTCCGCTAGGGTGAGCCGATTTCCCGTTCGATCCGTTGCCATCGGTTCTCCTTCTCTAATCGATCTCCACTTCTCTCTAGAAATCAATTTACCAAAGGTCCACCTACAATCAGCCACACCCTCCTCCTGCTTCGTTCGCTAGCCCTGCCAGTGACGTCACCGTCATTTCTGATCACCGCCCACTGTTCAATGATTTTATATCAGGCAAGTTGTCTTCCCTTATTTTTTGTCAGACGGAATTCATATATGTTGGTAATCGATTACGTTGTCTTCATATTTGGGTTTATTACAAGTGCTGCAGATAAGTCGTCCGACGGAATTCTTATTTTGATTTAGTTGGTTTTTTGCTCTCCATTTTGAAGCTCACTAAAACCAAAACTAAATTATGCCCACCAAGTGTTTGTTAAAAGGCCAAATAGAGATTTTTGAATTGTTGCATCATAATTTTTTTACTCTAAGTTTTTCATGTATATTAATTGATTAAAAAGGATTTTTTAGTGGTAAGAATACTTTATCAGGAACATCTATCTTTTTGAATTTTGATTTATGTTACGGATTTTATGATACTTGCAAAATTTGCAATGGAAGTTGCTTTACTAGAATGGTTTTACAAGGATCTTGTAAGAAAATATGGACGTAAATTAAAATACCAACTTACCCTTTTGTTGAATGTTGTTGGGTGGTCTTAAAGATTTGGTTTTGAAAGGGAACATATTTAGTGATGATTTGTTTGTGTTGTAGATGTTGCAGTGTCATATAAGCACAAAGAAGTAATCAGCTATGTAAGCACATAAAACTCTTTATATGTAATTCCTTTATGTTATATATTTTCAATATTTGTTTGTGTTTGTTTAATAGCCCTAAAACATGCAACTTTAGTCCATCTTTTAAAATGATTTTATCTAATTGCTTTTAATCACTACATGCTTTTCCCCTTGCAGACTTAATATGTTACTGGATCATTTTGCTTGCTGTAAACAAAAAACGCTTTTCCCCTTGCAGACTTAATATGTTACTGGATCATTTTGCTTGCTGTAAACAAAAAACGGATTTTGCTAATCTTTAATTTGTAGTAAGCATAGAATCATGATGGTTGTGTGTGTAACAGTAAGTGATCCCAAAACTGATTCCGATACTTTTCCTTCACCATAAGCATATTAAAACTTTGATGAGCATATTTTTACTTATACACATTCAATTTTTGCTCTAAATATGGGATCAGTTTTGGGAAATTTTTCTCCAATTGATATTTGACTAGGTTTGTTGACTATCTGCACATGCTTTTATGATAATGAGCTCAATTAACTTCAAGTTATCTTTGAGTGAACTCAATTTCCATTTGTAGGTGTGGGCTGCTTTGCACTTTCCAGCTCAACTTTATGTCATTGGGCTTAGTAAATGACTCATCATTTTCATAAGGTCAGTAGTTAGTTATTAGTAGTAGTCTAGCGGATAGCAAATAGAGATTTTTGCGTAACTAGTAGTAGTAAGCAGATGCCGGTCTATTTACATACAGGTAGTTGAAAGAAATTCTATTTGAAACCAACAACGACACTGCTGTGCTGCTGAAAACCATGCACAAAATGAGAAAGAAGTATGAAGAGATTATCAAAAAATTAAAAAAAGAGATCAAACAACTCCCAGAAGATATCCATCCGTATGTCTAATGCGTGAACCTCCACAGAAAACATCTTCTGCTAATATATTTTCCTTATGTAATCATCTTTTGCAAGCTCCGTTTCTTTCATGTACTACCATCTCATCAATATTATAATATGTTTTGTTTTGTACAACAGTCTCAAAGAACCAAATAAAACAAACAACACAGCGCCAAAGACGCATGAAATTCCCTCTAGTTGACATATGGTTTATCACAAAAAATAGTTAAAAAATATCATTTTCTATAAAATAACTATTAATTTTACGATGAATCTATGCAAAATCTTGAAATTTGTTTTTTTTAGGGCTGTAATAAAATATTTAAATAAAAACATAATGTGAATCTGTTTATATTATTGCGAAAATAATATTTTTTTTATCAACTTTTCTTTCTGATGTGGATCTTCAAAAGATATTTTCCCTGTAAAAAAGAGCTTCATTGCAAAAATGAATAAATGATACGCTTAGGTTGAGATATTTAAAAGAATGTTGTAAAAATGAGAAAAAATATCTAGAAAATGTACTAATTAGTGGATGGCGAAATTATTATATCTATATTATATTAAGAAGCAATGTCTATTAAAAAGCAACGTCCGTTGAAGTTTCTATTGATGTTTTGTAACTTATACTATCTTATACGTATAAGTATAAGCAGTAAACATTTTTCAAAATAAAAATACTTTTACATAGATACAAACGATGAATAAATAAATAATTCAATTTATACTAATAAAAAACTATTGACATATTTTAATGCTAAAAATTAAGATGTAAATATTAAATATTTTTTAAAATAAACTTTCAAAATAAATACAAATGAAATGATGAATAAGTATGTAATTAAACCTATATTAATAAAAAACAATTGACATATATATAGTATTATGAATCATAAATTTTCAAATACTTTTTTGAATCACAAATTAAAAAAATGAGGTTATAGTAGACTTTTCAGATTAAATTTAGAAGTTGATTGGAAACATGTATGTTGATATCCACATGATATATTTTGGTTGCCATTTGGATTGTTACCGACAACATGTATACACTTGCTTTATGACGGTGTTTGACTGGTGCTAATGAAATTAGAAAACAATGAGAAAAATATAGACGATGTAAATTATATTATACGTATAAATATTTGTAACTTAACGTATATATTAAGAAAAAAAGAAGATAAAATAAGCTTAGTGATATCATCATAAATGATATATAACAGATTTATTAAATTAAACTTGGAAATAGATTCAAAACAATGATGATCATGATGACCATTATGTATGCAATAATAACAATAGTTAATACAAATATGCATTGGTTATACCACAAAAGGTCTACATAGAAATAATTAATCAATAAACTTAACATCAATTTGTAACATAAAAAATATGGATAAAAAGTCAAATAAATTGCATGACAAAAAAGAAATATCGTTTGACGTGGTGAACATATAATTAAATCTTCTGTTATCCAAATATAATTTTCTTAATTTTTATTTTGTCTTTAATATCGTTAGATAATAGACTTGTAATACTAAAAATAGAAGTAGATTCAAAACTTGTATGCTGATATCCACATGATATATTTGGTTTCACATTTTCATTGTCACTGACAAAATACATAGAATTATTTGTAGATGTTAAATGTTATCGATGGTTACCTTAGTTGATATATATAATAGTAACAACAATTAATAAAAAATGTCTTGGTTATGTGACATAAAAAGTGATATGATATAAAACAATGTTTTTATATATACGTTAAATATAAAAAAATGAATGACAATTAAACTAAATTGATTTGTAGATAAACAATTACCAATTGGCATGGGACATGACATTAAATTTTCTTTTATCCGAGTATTATTTTCTATGTTTGCTCCTGTTTTCATGGTCGTTTGAAGCCATATCGTATTTGTATCTTTAAACAATAATAATTCATGTAATAAAAATTTGAAAAAATGTTATAAAATTTTGAAAGTTCGATTAGTAAAATAAAGATATTATAAATTCAAATGTGTAGCTACACACAAATAATGTTAAGATATCTAAATGTGTTTTTACATGACCTAAACATAAACTGTAAACTCACATTTTTTTTATTTGTAATTGTTACATGTATAAAATATAAATTATACGTATAATATAATTGTCATATAACATATACAAATAAATATTATAGATAGATAAAATACTTAGCAAAAATATGAGAGTTTTAAAATAAATTAGATACAGAAAAGTTTAAAATCCTAGAACTCACCACTAAAATTATTATATCTCAATTTTGACAATATTATTTTATAGCATTTCATTATTTTAATATTTGTAAAAAAAAAGTTCATAATAAATGTTGTTATTGTTAGAGAAACATAAACTATTTATTATTATATTCATTTTATGGAGAAATATCCTTATGTTAAATAATAAAGGTTTCAATAATTATAGTTAATAATTGTAGTATTGATTTAAACATTTAATACAATGAATACTATATATATATATATATATATATATATATATATATATATATATATATATATATATATATAATTGATTGATATTTTATTAATAAAAAAATAAAAATATCATATAATAACATGTTAAATTTAAGTAATTTAAAAATCTCACATAATCACATGTAACAAAAGTCTTAAGAAAGTGACATGTATCCAAATGATTTTATTTATTATAGTATTATTAAAAAAATTCTGTGGAGGCTTCATCAGTATGAAGGTCTTTGTTTTAAAAAAAATGTCATAATGACATGTACAGTTTTTGAGTTTTTTTTAACAAATCATATGTTTTTTTTTTTAAACAGATCATATGTTAGTGTGACTATGTTTTGTCCTTTTCTCTTAAATAATAAAATTAAATACTTTATTTTTAACTAATTAAAATATTAAACTTCCATTACATGAATCCTTACTTTAAATACCCCCATACATCATCCACTCCCTTCTCGTTATCTCGTATCTTACCAACCCACCGTCGTTAGTGCTCCACTGCCCCTTTCATTCTCTTTAAAACACTTTTGTTTCCATTTTTGTCTATTTGCTTTTTATTATTAAGCGTTTCAAAGAATTAACTAAATATATGCCTTTTATATGTTTATGATGACACCTTTTAAACGATAGTGGTTTTGTGGCCACAAGTTTGAACATATGAGCACTTCTATTGACAAGTGAATTCTCTTTATAGGGAAAAGAAGGGAAGAAAATAATAAGTGCAAGTCTATAGATTTATTACTTTAAGGACATTATAATTTATTTCTTCCATAATAACCATGACAAAATGTTATATTATGATTTAGTCATAAAGTGTAGCAACTTATGTTTTCAATTTACCATTTATTTACTCATTATTTCAAAAAGATCATTGTTATAAAAACGCCAATTCACTTTTTATCCATTCTATAACACATAGCCTTAAGTTATCTTAGATTATAGGTCAAGTCACGATTCATTTGCTACTTGACCTAATCACAATCAATGATTAATCTATACTGTTGGACCTCTTGACCATATCACGATCAATGATTAATTTACACTATCACACCAATATGATCCAGATTTGAACGTTGACAAAATAAGCAATGAGATTACGTGATTTATAAGCAATGGGATTATTTTTTGGTTTTCAAATAAAAATCGTAAAATTAATTTGCCTTGATTGTTATGGCCCGAAAAAGCCCTGAACGTTATGTAATTTTTTAGCTCTTTATTAGTTTTTTGTATATATTAATTCAGTTATTATTCAAAAATAAAAAGTAAGATGGCTCGTATTTGATTATTTCCATCAACGATAATAATATTTTCCACAATTATTTATTAATTAATTACTAAAAAAAGCATCACGTAATATTCCAACAAACTATCTTTGTTTTCCTAATAAAAAAATAATTAATAATAAGAAAAGAGTTGAGTAGAAACTAGAAAGCCTATAAAACAGGATTGAAAAGGCGTACATAAGCAATTATATTTTTTTAATAATGAAAAGTAAAAGTTAAACATACCCAAAGTTATTAATATTTTTTTCAGAAAAACCCTAAATTAATTGTAACTACTAATTTGAAGTGCCCAGTATGAAAATAGGAATGCAAAATATATAAAACTTCGTTTCGAAAAAAAAAAGTTAAATAAAAATATCGTACCACGAAATAACAAGAAATCAGTATTGCAAACTTCACTAATCACTACGCATACGAAAAATTGTTCTTTGTACCATGAAACTGTTATTATTATTATTTTTTTTTTTACAAAAATCTTATTTGTTCCAATAAATTTTTTTTCAAAGTTTTTTGTGATGAAGATCTTGAAATACCTTTTTGCCAAACAAATTTATATTATTAAAATCAGTATTGTTAATTGTATTATGATTTTTGAGTCCATTGATATGCACGCTTAGCAGCTTCAAGTGTATTGGAAAGTAACATGGAGATGGTAACAGGTCCAACACCACCAGGGACAGGAGTAATTGCCGACGCTTTATGCATTGCTTCTTCATAGCAAACATCTCCACAACTATTCTTTTTCTCCTGTATAAAGGGTAAATTCGTCATTTTACATGGACTTAATACTTAATATTCCTATGGCTAAGTTAAACCTTAAATAAGGACCAAAATTGAAAAAATCAACTATAGTCAGGGACCAAAAATGTAATTTACTCTAAAATAAAATTTTAAAAAAGGTACCTTGACCAACGTTGACCCCATATCAATTACCACAACCCCAGGCTTCAACCAATGACTTCGAACCAAATTTGGAACTCCAACATCTGAAACCAAAATATCAGCTTCACATGTTATTTCCTCTGGATTCTTTGTGAATGAATGCACAACGCTTACTGTAGCATGATGTCTCTGAATGTAGAAAGACATGTGATTCAGACGAATAAGAACATTAAAACAAGACAATTTGGATACAAATAAAATAAATACCTGTAATAGCAAGGAAGTGGGTAATCCAGTAATCATGCTTCTTCCAATTACCACTGCTTTCTTACCTAAAATTTCTACACTGCATCGATTAAGCACCTCAATACACCCCAAAGAGGCACAAGGAATAAACAAAGGCTCCCTTCCTCTCATTGCAAGGTTTCCCATGTTCACAGGATGAAAACCATCCACATCTTTTTCAACTTTCACTGCATTTATAATCTTCTCCTCACACAAATGCTGAATCAACAATTACATTGGGTGAATCGATTGAAATTGATTGCAAAAGAAAGGGTAAAAGAGTAATTTACATTGGGTAATGGAAGCTGGACGAGAATGCCATGGACTGATTCGTTGTGATTTAACATTGAAACAGCATCAAGAACTTCGCTTTCTGTACAGTCTTCAGGAAGCTCTGTTACTACTGAGGCAATTCCAACTTGTTCGCAAGCTTTTTTCTTGATGCGTACAAATGTGAGTGAATCTTTTCTTTTTCCCACCAATATTACGCCTAATCCAGGTACCTTATTGATTGAATTCTTCATATTAGAAACTTCAGTCGCTAATGTAGCTTTAATTTCATTGGCGATTAATCTCCCATTGATTTCTGCTGCTGTATGTTCATTATCTGTTTGACACACCAGTTTTAGGGTTAGAAAAAGGTAGATTATGTCCCCAACGAGAAAAAATCAATATGATGATGTTCATACACATGTACTTATGGAAGAGGAACTCGGTCTAGAAGACTGAAAACTCAAAATCACAGAAAACCAGTTTAATTAATCTTCTTCCTCTCAACATTTTCGAGTCTACTTTACAGCAAAAGCAGCATAGATTTATCAAATTAGAGTCCAATTTAGTGTAAAATGACAAATGTTCACCACTAATGTTTACATAAATCCATAACCTTGGTGTATTTTGCAAATGCGACTCCAATTTTGGAACTGAAAACGTATGAACAACCAAAGGCCCAAAGCCAATCGAGTAATCGAAGGTATTAAGAGTTAAGAGCTACCGATTGAGATATAGGAGCGAGGATTTCTTACAGTCGTGTGTAAGATGTGAAGAAACCCCAGACGTCGATGGAGAGGTACACCATATATCAGGGCGGTCTAGGCAAACAAGAGGCGTCAGAGAAGACGAACTGAACGACTTATTGGCCAGTATGCGCCATGAAAGAGCTAAAGTACCTCGCATCACAAATACTTAGGAACTGGTATTATCAGTCAAATCGAAGACGGAAGAACACGAGAATCGACTCCATTGCTGATACAGTGATATGAAGAGAATCAAATTGAAGCTGCATCATGATGACGACGTGTAGGATCCAGGTGAAATGGGTCTCACAGGTGTCCTCCCTTTACCTTTTTGGTTATTAAATTAATAAATATTAATAATTTATCATGTTTGATAGTTGGTACAATAAAGTAGTACTTGTAAAATAATGAATATTTCATGTTAAATATTTAGTAGAATATATAAATATATCTAATATAAAAAGGAATAATGACAACTCCAGAAATGCTCCATGTTACTCTGTTTTCTTTAGATCTAGAGCCCAGTATTTTTGCAAAAGTACTTGTACAAAATTAGTTAAGCAAACAATTAAGAACCAAACATAAATAACAACTTAAAATTAATTCTCAAAGAAGAGTCTATTTGAATCATATTTGATTAACCAATAAACACCAACCAAATAGGGTTTCGACTTTACCTTAAATTGTAATGGAGATCTTTTGGTATAGAAACCAAAGATTAAATTATATATATTCTATATAGTTATCACACGAGCAATGTGAACAGTTGGTATACTCCAATCAACAAAACAAGACAAAGCCATATTTCTTCCATGCTTCCTTATAGTTGACAATCTCAATCAAAAGGAGAAGGGGGGCAACACCAACATCGTGTAAGGGAGATGGGATGCAGTTAGAGTTTAGAATTTAGGGTTTTAGGTGAATTGTTTCCAAGAAGTTATAATTATATCTTTATAATTCTTATAAAATGGGTCATCCAAAGGTTCAAGATAAAACATATATCTTGAAACATATTCATTTGAAACTCACACCCTTTCAACTTATGTTAATTAACTACTTGGTTAATTGAAGTATTTTACCTATATAAGAAGACTATTTTATGTATGATTACTCACAATGAAAGAAAAAGTTTGAATCGTGAAATATGTTGAGGAGAACTAAAGGTGGATATGATAATCAAGCTTTTGAAAGCCTAAAAGATATTTGGGTGATTTTCTCAATTTCAATTTATATTCATATATTTTGGATTCTATTTTTTTTAGATTTCAAGAAAATATTATAGATGTATATTTGGAGCAAAAACAAAATGACTCTACTTAAATTTATTTATTTCAGTTAGTTTGTTTTTAGTTTGCAAAATCCTATATTTTTTTTATTCGGTTCCATCACTGAGTTTGTAACTAATGTGATTCTAAAAGTATAATTCTATTATTAATGAATATTTTACTTAGATATATATGATTAGAAAATTGACAACATGATAAGATGTTCATTTTCAACGTAAAAAAAAGCAAAATAATTAAAATAATTTTTAATATAAAATTATCATTATCAGTTTGTGTTCTTTGTTATGTTATAAGCATTTGTGAATAATCGATGCATATGATACATCCATACGTTGATGATTACTTTCATATAAACGAAGGAATGGATAAAGTGCTTACAATGACAAAAACCATATAACAAAAAACGTAAATAACAAAAGCTTAACAATAATATACAACAAAATAACACAATGGATGTATATGTATAACAACTTACAATCATGAAATAACAACTAATAAAAAGAATATTTTTGTATTTATCAAGTATTTTGATTCATAAACAAATACAAACTTTTCCAGAATATGTTAATCTAAATCAATAATAAATAGATATACGCTTATAAATAATATACTATATATTAAAAAAAATTGGCTTAGGATAATATATTTTTTGTGTTTTCATACTTTCACCACAAAAGGTTCTTATTTTACATTTTAGCCACAAACAAAAGTTCTTAATTTCACACTTTTGCCACAAATGACTTTAACAATAAGTTTAGAATAATTTCACATTTGGTCCTTCTTTATGTGGAACATTCACTTTGACCACAACACGTTTGTATATTGACAGGTTTGGTCCCTATGTACAAAACAATTTACAAAAAATTATGTAATGTCCCAAAAATATAGTAAAATTTTCATTTTTAAACCATCAAGTCATATATCATTATATAACAAAACCAACAAAGTAAAAATGTATTTTTCAAACATCAGAGTAAATCAAAAGTAATCAGTGCGGAAAAAGCCATCAGGTGATGCGTTGCAGTCATGCCGGTCTCTTCCCTTTGGAACTGGAAGTACCAGAAAATGTTTAAACCACAAACTGTAAGCACAAAGCTTAGCGAGTTCCCCAAAATACCACATACCATACATATCAACGGGCCCAACCCGCACATTGGGCCCAACCTGTAATAATGGGCCTAAACCATCATACTAACATGCCCATCCCCATATATTAATGAACCCAACCCTGCATACAAATGGGCCTAGTCCAACATGTCAATGGGCCCAACCCAACATGAAAATAAGCTCAGCCCAACATGTATATCAATGGGCCCAACCCAATACACAATGCAAGAGTTACAAAGACATCTACATCCTACACAGTATAGTAAGAAGACTCACCTGACTCACGAAATCAACTAAAGCACAACTCAATGCAATGCAACCGTTGCTACAACACACCTATCAAAACATAAAATGTCTAACCTTAGCCTATATCCTAAATCTAGAAATTTGACCAAAAGTCAATCATACCAAAAAGTAAACGATCAAAGTCAAAGTCAACAACCAATAATACCAATAGTTGACCCTCATGTCGTGACCATCCCTTGGTCACATCGTGAGAATACACTCAGCCTGATTCCAACTGTTCTCACACCAACTCAGCCAACTCGGTCACGGACAACTCACTTAGCAAGCATCACGACGTGAACCCTCCTTGGTCACGTCGTGAACTCATCAGGACAAGATAATCGTGAAATCTTCCTTGGTCACGTCGTCACATCCTCAATGTCACGTCGTGACCACAGTTCGAGACAACAACTTAATGGTTTGAGTCCTTAATCCATTAAGTCTTCAACTCCCACTTTCCAGAAAGCTTTAAGGGACTCCATAAGTTCATAAAAATGACAACTTTATAGACATGCATGTTCCATGCATATCCTCTACCCTACCTAGGTCAAAATCCAAGAAAATAACCTAACACTCAAGCAAGGTTCATAATTCACAACCAATCCTTAGATCCATAAGATATGATGCTCTATGGACTCAAGAGGATCATAAAGTTGCCAAATTTATTCCATCCATTAACTCAAATCAAAACCATAAACCAAAAAGGACCAAAACAACTTAGATCTAAGAGAATAAATCATAAAGGTAGAAGCTTGAATCCTTACAAATGGTCTAGAAGGTGAAATAAAAGATGAGAAGATCTCGCTTGCTTGATCCTTGCACCAATCCTCCTCCTACTTCCTTCAAAGAGCACCAAAACGACCAAAATGAGCCAAGAACCACCAAGAGAGGTTAGGGTTAGGGTTTATAAGGTTTGAGGGTGACGGAGGCCGATAATGAACCCTAAATTCGAGTTAACGGGGTTTAAATATGAAGGAAACCCTAAAAGATCATGGGCTTAGGTTGCATATTTCTTCACGTCGTAACCACATACATGTCACATCGTGACCACTCATTAGATGCGCGTTCTTCACTTTGGCTTGTCACGTCGTGACCTCCCTATGGTCATGTCGTGACACCTGGTTTTCCCAAAAACCATGATTTTGACTCCTTAATGCCTTAAACCAAACCATTCTGGAAAACAAGTGTTACAACTCTCCTCCACTTAAATTAGATGTCATCCTCAAAATCATTCTTTATAACTTACTCTGCCACACCATTCGACTCTGCCAAAACTTCCTGAATTCTGATTAGGACCAAAAAGCCATCTCATACAAACGACCACCTTCCAACACTACCATCGAAGCCCAATCTTATCAGAAATCTCATAACCTGACGAAGGAATGAACCTTAACACTTTGTCCTCAGTTATTAAAAGAAAGTCCAACAACTTTGCTCGAAAAAAGAAAACCCTATACCATGTTTGACTTCCAGACATACATAAATATTCCAAACTACAACCATAATGACTACACTCCGTGACCCAAATCGAACAAACCCCTTCAACCCTGAATTATCTCACTGATACTGGACAAATAGAATCCCTGACTCTAACGTCCCAAATTTCAAGGAAAATATTTCGTTTTATTTATTAAAATATAAGTCTTACTACCCATTACAAAAGCTATTGTCATACATTTATTTGAAAAGAGTTTTAGCGGAAGTCTTAAAACAAATGCCTTCAATACGAGTACAGTCATGCATGAGCTTTTCCTCGATCCAAAGAACAATTTGAAAATCAGTTATTCAACAACTTTAAGTTGATACTTAGTGAATTCCCTCAAGATACCACTTACCACAACATATATACAATGCATGCCTTCAGCTTATAGTTGGTCCACACATTGGCCTTCAACATATAGCTGGTCCGCCCTATATAACAACATTCCATATAACAGGCAACTAACTATACTAGTCTAATTGCCTAATTACATACTAAAGGGAAACTATATCCTATCATACAAAGGATACATACTGGAGTATACAATATAGTGAGAAGAAAACACCTGGACAACTTCTCAGAGGATTTACAACTAACTGAACAATTCAACTGGCAAGCAACATCCCAACGAGGATTAACCTATAATACTATAGATTATTAGTTCCTATGGGAATCTAGTAAAGAAGGCTAGCTCTTTCATTAATCCTAATGAATACTGAGAGTTCTACCAAATAAGGATCAACCAGGCAAGACTGTTGGGAGGCATGACCATTTCAACATATAGCCTTTCTAAAATCCAACAACCAAGTCAACATGATCATTCCATATACCTCTCCCATAAGTGGATCAATCAACATTATGTTTGGAATTACTGATAAACCTTATTTACACATTCATAATAACGAATATGAATATAAATATAAGTTACACTTAAAAGCCTAGTAAGCGTAGCTTAACTTACAAAGAGTTTCCCGTGAAAAGCAGGATTTGCGCTGGCAGAAC